CAATTCCAGCAACCGTTCTTTATATGTTTTAGCCTCCAGTCCCCTATACAATATATTATTGTAATGTCACAGAATCTTTGCCACAGTAAGACAGAGACAACACCATTTGATAAATTCTCACCTCTTTAGAGCAGTGTTCCGGACATAGCTCAATTTGCTTCAAGAATGGAAAGAATGACCCTCATTTTTTACAATTACTCAGTTCCAGGTGATGGAGTAAGGCTGTCAGATACACAATGATGTATGAGCTGTATCCTGTGAGCTGTCACCCAAATTGCAGGGAGGACAAAGCAGACCAAAAAGAAGTGTTTCATTAAAAAAAAGGATCAGTCCTCATAGAGCACCAGATAATTACTTGTAGAAGTGGTTAATCCCTTCCTAACATGAGTTCAAATTTAAACTACCCTACCTGGGTAGGGTAGTTTAAAAATGCAATCTCTGTTTGCATTTCCTATGGTCCTGGCATTCATCATTGGATCTTGGAATAGGGAGAACAGCAAATATCCAAGACTACAAGTGACGAACCAATTAGAAAACTGTAATATTTACAGTGTAAATACTAGGTGTTTCCATTTTTTTCTTAACTGACATTACTGTAACCCTACACAAGGTGGGTGGAGTTGTTCCTTCCCTTTTCAGCAGCTTACTAAACTTTTTGGTTTTCTTCTTATGGTCGCTATGTCTCAGGCCATCTCTTTAGTTTTTTGACTCAAGAAAACAAAAAGTCTTCTTCCTATCTGTCTATGGAGATTCTCAATCATCCAGGTCATGGTTGTCTCAAAGGTGCTTTTTTCAAGAGGCAACTGGACTTTCTGGTTTTTCTTTGAAGACATTTCACTTTTCATCCAAGAAGCTTCTTCAGCTCTGACTGGATGGTAGGGAATGGAAGGATTTATACTCCTTGCAGACAGCTGGACATTTGCATTCTTTTAGTGGGTTGTTTATCTGTGTCATCAGGGTCACCCGAGTGGTGCAAATTGGTGTGGAACCTTTTTGGAACTGTTGAAAGAACTGTGTTGTAGATTGGAGATAGATGATGTTGTATACCTCCACCCGGATGAGAAGTGAAATGTCTTTGAAGAAAAACCAGAAAGTCCAGCTGCCTCTTGAAAAAAGCACCTTTGGGTCTCCTTCCTATCCTGGTTATGTCAAAGAAAATTTGCTTTGATGCAAAAATCCTGCACAAAATGGTTCTTGCACTCCAATGAGTACATGAGTATTACTTGTACAGACTCACATTCTTTTTCTGTGTATTCTGCTAAAAACCTGGTAGCTCTGAGAAGCATCACCTGGCACAACGGCTGTATGGCGATGTCAAGGTGTGTAATAGTGGCATCCCCTGTCAACATGAGTTTTCGTCTTGTTCCTCACATGTGTGGATGACCTGAGATTCCACTGCCAGTAAGATCTCTAAATGGTACAAAGGGACTGTTGTATTTTCCGGAATGCTACAGGCAGGTCTGTCATTTTGTCATAAGCAAATAAGCTGTGCATTGGATATGCTGGTTTTCTTAGTATATATTCCCCTCCACAGGCATGATATGAATGTATAACTGCTTTAGTCTGCAGTAAGAATGCAATCCTATTGAAATGTTGAGCAAAGAACAGCAAAGAAACCCAGTTCTCCAGTAACATTTTTCCACCTGAGGTTGCTAAAGATTCAGAATGTATGATCAAATGTGCATTCACCAATATGTATTACAGTATTATTACTCACGGGGTTGATTTCTAAATCAAATCCTGGCTTACAAGTGGTCTACAGAGGTTCCATTTTCATTTAATGGCTTGAGGGTTTGGGAGGAGATGATGCAATTTGGGAAAAAAGTACGAATCCTTTTTTAAATAGCCTACTTTTCTTCATCAAATGTAACTTTCTTGATATTGCCTACAGCAATTTAGCCACACAAGGGAAGAAGAAAAATATAATACTTCTAAGTACAGCAAAGCTCTAACCATTTTGAGGTAGCAAGCACATGAAATATCTAGAAATGGAACAAAATGGCTGCTATGGGAGGAGATGTTCCATCAAAAATTGGCTGTGGAATGGCATCACGAAAAATCCACCTATTGCTCTTTGTCACAGTCTCTAAACTCCAAAGACACTATTTAACCACACCCCACTTATCGCTATCTATTCTAGACAGGTAGGCAGAATATAAACAAAGCAATTACAATAAAAAACTAGTATTTTTATTTTCCATGAACATCTAAGGCTGTTATTTGGGAAAACTCTCTTAAAATTGATTCTGGGGTTGATGCTTTGCTCTGCAATACAACTACTTCTTTTAAAATATCTAAATTTAAAAACACTTTTAAAAATGTATAGTGTTGTGTGAGCCAGCGATCATGGTTTGGCAATCATGGTTTGGCAATCATGGTTTATGAGACAGCATTTTGAGAAAACCCATACAAGAGATCACTTGTCCTCCCCATGGCTCCCAAATGCACCATTCTAAATCGAAGCAAAAACAACAACAGTTTATGGCTTTATAAGATATGTGAACCCAGTCACACTCTGTAGGGAGTTTGCCCAATAGAAATTGGGTGGGTCCTTTGCAACTCCAGATGTTTGCATCTGGGTGGAGAACAAAGCTTCTTGTTACAGCCTGCACTGATGGGTCAGATGCCTTTTCCAACCCCACCCGTTGAGTACCAATCACTGCAGAAGCAAAAGAGACATGATTGCATGCTCAGGAGACCAACTCTGCCAACCATTCAACACTGCTATAGCAGCAGCTTCAAAAATTACAATCTAATCATTCATCCAGGAATTGCTTCACCTCTGTCTTATCACCACTGCAAATTGTTGCTTCTATTATCTGACGTAGTAAAAATGGAAAGACTACAATTTTAGCTACCCATGAATCATTACAGAAATTGTCAGTACATTTGATGTTGTCAGTGTTGCTACATGATTATATATATACAAACTTAAGAGTGCAGCTGAGTGGAATGGTTATCTTGCACTGCAGCTGCATAATTATCTTTTCTCCAAAAGTTTTGCTTATGAAAATTAGGGCAGAATAGCATTTTGCTGAGTAGCATCCTTATACCTGTCATCTATACAACCTCACACTCCCACCCCCCACCCCCTAGGCTATCTTTAAATGTCAGTCAATGCTTGATTCCTTTCATCTTTTAGCACTTTTATTAATTCAATAATACATGTTATCATTAGATTAAATCTATCAGGGTTCTCATTCCAAAAATAGACCAAATCTATTAAAACTGATTGATACAAAAAGTGGGGTTTCAAAAGGCTCTGTTTAACCTCTAAGACAATAAATACATCTATATTTTTAATAATTAAAAACTACATTGCAATATAGTTACTGACTGCAATATTTATAAACCTGTTACCATATTTCTTATTGGTTAGTTCTTCTTTTTACCTCAGCCAATATATTAAGTAGGAGACAGATCCTAGTATTTTATTGATAAGCAATCATCAAGTATTAAATTTTTGAAAAGCTGCTTAAAAGGTTCAGGAATGCAACACAAATTATTAGGAAACAATAACTGAAACAAAGTATTTATTCCCCCTCATGAACATAAAATGTACAAATATGATCCCACATGTTAAGACCCCCATATCAAGACAAATTATATGCTATTCTTTTTTCAAACTTCCCTTTTTTTAGTGTACCTGGTAAGTTTCAAAGCCATTTTTGTCACTCATTAAATAGGTGCGTTTCAAAGAGATATTTTAAAACCAGTATGCAGATCTGAAGCAAATGTCACGCTGTTTCTTTCAAAAATATCAATATTGCAGTTATTGCTCCTTTATTTCTAATTAAACAAAAGGAGGAATAGCAACATCACTCTAATTAATGTTATATAAAGGCACCCATGCTAACTCTCACTCAAATACAACTCAATGAATCATTCTTTATTGAAATCTATTGGCCCCTCAACTCCAGAGAGTCTGGAATTCTATAAAAGATGCCGTTTATTTTTCATCAGTGTTCCCCTCATACAGGAAGCAAGTAAGTCAGTCCTGTTTTTATTTTTCAACGGGGAGTAATATCTTTCAAATGAGAGAGCCTATTTTTCATTGCTGCAAGTCATTGTTTCCCCAAAAGAAAAGTTTAAAAGGAAAGCTGCAAGTGGAGTGGGCGAATGGAAAGGTAGTTGAAAATACACCATTTGTTAGCTATTCTATTGGCACATCTCAGATTTGGAACAGCCCGTTTCTGACTCTCGTTCTTACAGCCTCTCTCCAGAAACGAAAGACTCTAACCTAAAGTAATGCTAACACCAGGAAACCTAGAATTCGTATTAGCTCCGCTTCTTCTCGGCGGTCAAGAGACGCCGGTAGCTTCTCACAACTCGCCCCGACTTGGAAGTTGGCTTCCACTTGAATGGGGCTTCCTTCCAAGTTCGTGCGTGGAGCCTCGAGATGCAACTCGAAATTCCTCTGGAAGCAAATGCCATTTCCAATGCTCCCAACTTCGATCCGCTGGGAAGCCAGCACGGCTCGTAGCAAGAGAGAGAAGGAAGAGGGCCAAAAAGGGTTCTTTTAATCGGATCAGGCGATCCAGTTAAGGTGCTTTTTTTTTTTGAACCTGGCCAAAGGGGAGGGGAAAGGAAAGGAAAGGAAAGGAAGACAGAAGCCGCGTTTCGTGGGCTCTCCGGTCCCCGACACTTTCTCCCACGCCTGCCGACAGCGTCCCGCCCAGTCTCGGTGGCTGCTTGGCATTTCCCTCCCTCGCCCGCCCTGAACTTTTACTCCCCGACGTTGCCCCGCGGTCAGCTCAGCCCTCTGCCCCACTTTTGGGGGTGGGGGGACCCCGACTCGCCTTCTGCCCCGGAGGGGAAAGTTGTAAGGTACCTCAAACAAGCCCACGCGAGGCAGGAGAAAAGGGGAGCGACACACAAGAGGCGGGAAAAGGAGGCTCTTCCACCGCAGGCAAAAAAAAAATATATAAAAAAAAGCAAAGCAAAGCAATGCGCCCAAAGCCGGGGAAATGCCTAAGCGCAACCCCTCCGGCAGCCTTTACCTCGCCCCGCAGAAATGCAATTCTTCTCTCTAATGCGCCATGCTCCGGCTGCTCTCGGCGGAGGAAGCGCGGCGGCAAAGGAGCGAACGAGCGAGCAGCCCCGGACGCAGCAGATTTCTCACATACGGCTCGGGCTCCGGCGGAGACTCCAGCCACACCGCCTGCCTCCGGCTGACGTCAATGTCACTGTCACATGGCTCGCTGCGAACCCGAAGTGCATTGGTCGTCGTAGCAACGGCAGCCCGGCGCTCTGAGATAATTTCGAGAGGTCATTTGTCAGACCCGCGTGTGCACGTTTGGAGCGCGGTCGGGGCTGACCCGGGTCCCCGGAGCTGTGGAAAATTGGGGGCGAGGGAGGGCTGAAAAGGGGAGGAAGGAGGCGAGGCGGCGAATGGATTAAGAGCTGCAGAGATTAACGACCGACTTGCCCAGAAAACCCTTTTGGGTTCTGTAAAGTGGGGAGCAGGAATGTTGGGGGGACATGGTGCCCCCCACTTCTTAATTTCTTCTCAAGGCATTCCCGAGTCGGGGTGATTTTTTACCACTTCCTTCCCTCCCTCCATCCCTGCGCTTTTTTCTTTGCTTCTCTGCTTTTGTCAGTGGACTAGTGAAGAGAAAACTCTTAAAGAAAATAATAATATCCCGATTTACGCCTCGGGGATTATATTTTAACTAATTATTTTAACTGTCATGATCTATCAGTTCAACTATTCAGTGAGACATTATGCGCTATGTGGAATGGCTGCTGCTTTGCTTCCCCTGAAACAACCGGCACAAACCAAATTTCCTGGTTTGTCTTTTTAACACATAACAAGCATGATTATTTGTATTGGGTTTTTATCAGCTAACTGTCCTGGCGAACGTTAGATTTTATTTTAAAAATCTAGAAATAAAAGTCAATAACTAATGTAATAAAAATTCAAAGTACAAAAATGTTCATGGTGTACTAATCCGGGGAAATACATTTCCCAAGTTACTGCAGTAAAATAAGAGTACTGCTGAGAAAGGCCTGTCTCTGGTCTTCGTCAATTTGAATTTAAAGAAAGGAAAACAAAAAAAGGGAATAAACTAATATGGACCAGATCAAATGTTCCGTTAACCTTCACAAAATGCTTCCTGTTTGCCATAGTTGACTTATCAGATGCAACCACAAATAGGAACATAAAAAATCAATAGTCCTTTTCGTTTGCCATCTATCAAATGGAATTAAGAAACAACACAATTTCATGGAGATTTCATTTAGTTATTATACCTCGTAATAATCATAAGAGGAGTTCAGTGACTTCATAGATGAAATATGCCAAAAAGAATGATCATATAATTAGAAAAACAAATTGACAACTGATTTAATGTGTTAAAATTGTTGAAACTATTGAATTCTTGCCCATGTTTGATTTTGCTTGTCTTAACAGAGAGATAACAAAAACTATGTTTAAATACTTTGATCAAATGTTCCTTAGATTTCTTAGTTTATATATTTTCAAGCAGATCTTTTTATTTCTATATAATTTATTAATATATTTATGCAGTTCTGATATATTCAAATGTATTTAAAGTAATATCTGTACTGGAATTCTTATGTGTAAGAAAGAAACATTCAAAAAATCTCAACCATTTCCCTTGTTAGGGAAAACAAAGATATCACAATCCATAAAAATTAAAGATATTTGCAGTATTTTTAGGAAGAAGCTGTTGGTCTACTTTATTGGGTGTCTTTGTTTATATGGGACAATACTTTAACCCCTATCCAGTTGCTCTGTTCATATGACTGTATTAATCTTAATAATTAAAATATACAGAATATTAGATATTAATTCAATGTAAATTTTTAGAAAAGTTTCACATCAGTGCTGGAATAGCAATTGGTTAAAAAAAAAAGCAAGGTCTTCTCAGCTATAGCTCAGAAATCATAGAAATTCTCCCTGGCAAGACTATGATAGCAATAGCAATAGCTCTTAGAGTTATATACCGCTTTACAGCCCTCTCTAAGCAGTTTACAGAGTCAGCATATTGCCCCAACAATTTGGGTCCTCATTTTACCCACCTCGGAAGGATGGAAGTTTGAATCAACCTTGAACCTGTTGAGATTTGAACTACCAAATTGCAGGCAGCCGGCAGGCAGCAGAAGTAGCCTGCAGTACTGCACTCTAACCACTGCCCCACCACGGCTCATCATGATGTTAAGAAAATGGTGAGATGTGCACATTGCATAATGCAATTCTTGTATCATGATACATTTCAAGGACACCTATGTTTTTTATTAGCTATAATAAATTCACTGTTAGAAAGAAGGACTATCTTGATTTTTTTCATATCTTATTGTAAAAAAAGCAACTTGTGGAGTAAAGGCGACAATTTCTCAGAATTACTTGCAGGTTTCCATTAATTATGTGAAAACATAAGTTTTCTACTGATTCTGATTAAAGCTCACAAAACTTTAAATATCTGTGTTTACCCGCAACATAATTTGGAAAATAAGATTGATCAGTTCATGCTTTATTGCTTTTGTGTATTTTGGGGTGGGGGGGGGAAATCAGCTTTCAGTTTCCAAATATCTTTAATTTATGCACTGCCTGAAGTGATACTTCCTAAGAAGTGATGTTCCCATCTAACTGGCTGATTTTGTCTAGTCAGGCCATTGATTCCTCACATTTTATTTCTCTGGAAGAAAAGAAAAGCAACTGATGGTTAAAAAAAACATCTCTTGAGTTCAGTCTTACCCAATCTGAGTACCCTACAGATGAGTGGACTTCAACTCTCAACTTCTTAGGAATGGCCGTGATGGTTGGGAATTCTGGGTATTAAAGCCCACCCATCTGGAAGATGTTTGCCTGCTTCAGATTTGAATCCTTTGAGTCTCCCATTTTTTCAAAGACAAATATATCTTAGTTTAGCTGGCAACCCAGTCTTACTGCCTTTTTGGTTACCATCCTATGCATAAGAAAGGCTCTAGGCCAGAGGTGGGTTTCAGCAGGTTCTGACCAGTTCCGCAGAACTGGTAGCGGAAATTTTGAGTAGTTCGCAGAACCAGTAGTAAAAATTCTGCCTGGCCCTGCCCCCATCTAGTCTCTGCCTCCCAAGTCCCAGCTGATCGGGAGGAAATGGGGATTTTGCAGTAACCTTCCCCTGGAATGGGGTGGGAATGGAGATTTTATAGTATCCTTCCCCTGCCACACCCATCAAGCCACGCCCACCAAGCCATATCCACAGAACCGGTAGTAAAAAAATTTGAAACCCACCACTGCTCTAGGCCTCTATCCCAAATCCAACCTCATTAGAACTATGTAATTGAATATGTATACTTTCATTGTATAAAGTGAAGCATTTTGTAATCATCTATAAAAGTAGTGATTAAAAGAACATTGCTTGTATTTTTGAATGTTTTGTACCCAAAGCCTAAGGTATAATTTTGTTCAGCAATGTATTTTTTAAAATGACATTATTGTATTTGTGTCCTAAATCGAAAACGGAGACAGGGTGGTGAATTTAATAGACTGCAGCCAGTTTGAGTGCTTGTATTGTGAAGGCAAAAATAAAGAGTGCCCTTGTTGAGAAAACATTTTTTTTTGTTATCAAAAAAAGGTAAAAAAGTATTTTGACTAATGAAAGCTCTTGAACAAAAGCTGTAAAATAATTCACGGTTTTCCACCGACTGCATTATTGGAGAGCAAAAGAATGATTGTTTAAGTCAAGTCAAGTGGAAGGCAACTCCCCAGTGAATACAACATTATGAGAAACTCCCAAGCTCTCCCTTCTACTTTCCACCTTTACTATTATTAATTTCAGTTCTTAGGAGGGAAAAATTATAATCATCCCATTCCCCAAATCAGTAATTTATATTTACAGTAATGATGTGATATGTTTTTTGAGAAAATGACAGTGGTGTTTGTTTAAGTAAAAATAAAAATAAAAAATAGATGGGGCCTGTCACCAAGTTACAATTAATCTTCAAATATGAATAGGTAAGTTCCTGATCAAGACAGAGATACAAAAGAAATCAATTATGGAGTCTATCAAGAGCAGATTTGTACATTGTATTCCAAATGAACTTCACATTATACTAACATTCAAACAAACAGTCTCCAGCTTTCCATAATCAAAATGCACAAAATTACACTTGTCAAAAATTACACCTGAAAATTACATATAAACAGCTGCTATTTAAAAAACGTTTTTGCGGGAAATACATTTTTAAAAACATCTTTCAGACAAATGAACATACTATGCACATTAAAGTCATCTTTTTCGAATTAAGATCTCATGACTTAATCCTTACAGGCTTCCAGGCAATTTCCAGATATTAAAACAGCAATAAAATAAAATAATATTTCAAAACTTCTGTAACAAAATTAGAAGAGCTAATATCTGATAAAAAGAAAAGTATGCATTCATACAATACATCGAATGAACTGGTTCCATGAAAACCCAATCAGAGTACAAACAAAGAAAGTTGGTTGTTGAAACTTGAAGCATATTTCCGCACATATCTTTAGTATAAATAGAAATTTTTATGCCTAAAAGCTGCTTCTACTATGCACACTCACCTTATTTATCTTCTAGTAAACTCTAGCTGATCTGACCTCAGAAGGATAGAAGGCTGAGTCAACCCTGAGCCGGTCAGGATCAAACTCCAGGCTGTGGGCAGAGTTTGTCTGCAATACTGCATTCTAACTACTATATCACCAGGGCTCATTCAGTGATGGAAATTCTTGTCTCAATTACCTTCATTAACTAAGGGCTACCTATAATCATATGCTTACCATATCACGATTTATAAACAATGATTGTCAACCACACATACCAAACAAAAATAATACAAAGCATTGGAATCAGTGGTGGATTGCTACCGGCTCGCTCCGGATCGGGCGAAGCAGTAGCAGCGGCAGCGGGAGACACATCACGCATGTGCCCACGAGCGAACCGGTAGCAACGGGATTTGAAACCCACTACTGATTGGCATGTACATAGTCTAAGGAGGTGTTGAGCCGAAAAAAGCCTTTGTAAAAGAGCATTTGGTTGAAAAACTGTGGCTAACACTGATGTATATGGTGACCATATTGTCAAACAGTTAAAGGTCAAGAACATCAGACTTGCTTGTATATCCAGGCAGCATGAGAATAATATTTTTTTTCTCGGATGGAGAAAACCTCACTCTCCTCTTCGTACAATCCTATTTTCCAGGACTTTCTTGTA